CAGCCTCACTGGTCCGAATGCCCGGATCGGGCGGAACACACAGGTACTGGTCACTCTCTCCACTAGCAGACAACACATACATGGCACCAAGAATAGCATCAAAGTCAAGAGCATAGATATCAATGTTCTTCCAGATCAGCCCAGCGGGGCAGCTCAGTGGCACTTGGAAACTGGGTGCGCCAGGCGTCGTCTAGGCGGGAGAAGCAGCGCTGCGTGGTGTGCGCCCTCCCACACGTCTGACCAGTGCGGTCACCTGTGCGGATGACGTACGTGCAGCTAAGGCCACCCCCCCCCCCCCCCCATGCTGAGAGTACCACTCACGAAGCTCCTGGGGCGACAGAGTCTGCTGCTGGCGCTGACCACCACCAGCACCTCCACGACCTCCACCGCCGCCGCCACCACCTCGACCACCGCCCCTGCCGCCACCGCGTCCACTGCCGCCACCACCACCGCCCCAACCCCGGCCACCTCCTCCGCCGCTGCCGCCACCACCCCCACTGCTGCCACTAGCCCCTCCAGCCCCGCCACCACCCCCACCGCCGCCACCACCCCCACCACCGACCCCCCCGCGTCACCACCACCTCCCTTGCCCCCCTTGCCCTTGCCGCTGCGGCGCCCACTCGGAGTGGACGCAGTCCCGACCTGCTCAGCACCTAGGAGGTCGACAGCAGCAGCAGAGGCGACAGAGGGGAGAAGGGGGGAAGGGGAACACCCCTCGAAGAAAGGGGTGCGGGGGTCGCCACGAGAGGTACCTACAGCGACTATGCTAGCCTCAGCTGCAAGCAGTTCCTTCTCGAGCAGGTCAACGGTGAGCTCAGTGGGGCAGCGAGCGAGGAAGTGGTCCCTGACCGCACGAAGAGAGTCAGGGAGACGGGTGACTAGGTGGTAGAGAGTGAGCCACAGCGGGGGGGGGTTCTTGGCAAGAAACTCAGCGGGCATAGCGGCACGGAAGCGGGCCTCACTAGTGCGGAGGTGCGTGATGAGGTCAGCGACTGTGGAGAAAGTAGACAGGTCGAGGAACAGGTACGGGAGCGAGAGACGGCCTAGCACAGCAGAGGCAGGTGAGGAGTAGCATGCAACGACAGCAGTGTACAGTGCCTGCGCAGTCTTGTGCTGGCCAAAGTGCTCACGCTCATCTATCGGCAGGGAGTTGCGAATAGCGAAGCGAGTGTGGGCGTCACGAGTCTGCCACTGTGAGCGGGCAGTGCTGTCAGCAGTAGCAGCAGGGGCAGCAGCGTGTCCTAGCGCGTGATCGTACAGTGAAATATCCTCCTTGGCAGTGAGCTGGAGGAACAGGTGCAGGTCATCGAGCCAGGTGTCAAACTTCAGCGGGCGGCCCTCAGCATCGAAAGCGAGCACAGCAGGGCTAGCCATACTTGCAGTAGGAGCAGGAGCAGCAGTAGCAGCAGTAACAGCAGTAGCATCAGTAGCAGTGACAGCAGTAGCGGCGCGGCTCGGTAGGGCGGCGCGGCTCGGTAGGGCGGCGCGGCTCGGGCCGGGCGACGCGGTTCGGTGGGGCGGCTCGGCTCGGCTAGGCGGCGGCTACTCGAGGTGGGGCACGCGAGGGCGCGCAGGGCAGAGCGGGGCCGGTCCGCGCGGGGCACGAAATGGCGGGCTAGCAGGGCGGGGCCTGGTCACACGGGGCACCCAAGGGCGGGCTAGTGGGGCGGGGCCTGGTCGCACGGGGCACGCAAGGGCGGGCTAGCAGGGCGGGGCCTGGTCACACGGGGCACGCAAGGGCGGGCTAGTGGGGCGGGGCCTGGTCGCACGGGGCACGCAAGGGCGGGCTAGTGGGGCGGGGCCTGGTCGCACGGGGCACACAAGGGCGGGCTAGCGGGGCGGGGCCGGTACGCGAGAGGCACGCAAGGGCGCGCGGGTGGGTATGGGCCGGTCGCACGGGGCACGCAAGGGCGCGCGAGGAGGGGCGGGGCCGGTTCGTAAGAGGCGCGCAAGGGCGCGCGGGGCAGCGAGCGCGCGGGGCCGCACTAGGCGCGCAAGGGCGCGCGGGGCAGGCGACGCGCGTGGGGCTGCGCGGGTCGCACGCTAGGGCGTACGAGGAGGGCGGGGCCGATCGCACGGGGCACGCTAGGGCGTGAGGGCTAGGCGGGGCCGGTTCGCAAGGGGCACGCTAGGGCGCGCGACAAGAGAGAAGAGGAGAGGGCGCTCGAGGGCGCGACTAGGCGAGGCGCGCTCGGGCGCAACTAGCGGAAACGGTGGGCCCTTACAGTCGGTCCTAGGTTACGACCTAGGCTCGTAATACCATGTTAGAATCTAAGAATGAATGAGAATGATGAACTAGGAAAGAATGGGAGTACAAGTACCAAACCCTAGAGTAGTGTACCCCCTAAAGGCTAACCCACTGTAGCCTACAGAACTACAACATATATGACGTTTGACACTTGGCGACGTCAACTTCTACCTCGGGCTTCACATCGAGCGTGATGTGGAGAAGCGGTGCATGCGGGTGCACCAACTGAAGTACCTGGAGGCATTGGCTGCCAACTTTGGGCGGAGTGAAGGCCATGTAGCTACTCCCCTTCCCTCTCGGTTCAAGTGTGTGAAGGGACCAGAGGAGGAGAGCGTTGGTGAAGAGGAGAGGCGCCGATTTCACTCGTTGGTGGGCAGCCTCATGTATGCGGCGGTAAACACTCGACCGGACGTTGCCTTCGCTACCGGGCAGCTGGCTAGGGTTGTGCAATGCCCTAATGAGGAGCAGGTAGCAGCTGGAATGAGGGTGGCCGAGTATCTTGGCCAAACACCGACCGTTGGGCTTCAATACTCAGGGGCGGCGCAAAGGCGCCAAAAGGGCGCGGATGGTGTTGAACCCGGGCGTTTGTTCCTCACCGCCTACTCGGATGCTTCATATGCATCGGAACCAGAGGACATGACAAGTGTTGGAGGGTTCATTTTCTGTGTTGGTGGAGGCCCAACTGCTTGGGAGAGCAAGAAGCAGGTGGACCAAGCTTTGAGCTCGGTGGAGTCCGAGTACATGGCACTCTTCCGTGCGGTACGGGAGATTGTGTGGCAGCGGCGTTTGTTGGCTGAATTGGGGGAGGAGCAGCAAAAACCTACCCCTCTCTACTGTGACAGCCAGGGTGCCATTGCTCTAGCTAAGAACCCGGTGTTGCATGGCCTCACCAAGCACATGAGGGTGAAGTGGCACTGACAAGGAGCATGGTGGCCGCGGGTGAAGTTGAGTTGCGTTACGTGAAGACCACGGGGCAGCAAGCTGACATGATGACCAAGAGGCTGGTGGAGCAGCAGCATTGGAAGTGTTGCAAGCTGGCTAGAATGGCTCTGAACTGAGAGCAACATATCCTAAGGCCAACAATCCGAGGGGGAGTTTGTTGGTGCAACCCTACGGTTTGCACTCGGCTTGTTGTCCGTATGCGTGCATGCATGTGTGCATGGAATGGTATGAGGGCATGAGTATTTTTTACTTCATGCTTATAATAGTGTGTGTATGATGGGTCATGATATCAAGTGTGTGTGTGTGTGTCGAACCAATAGCGAGTTATCGCTAGACGCGTGTTACGCGGTCATTTTGTGTGTCCCGCGCGGTTTCTATTTTGTCGCTTGTGTGTCTCGCGCGGTTTCTATTTTGTCGTGTGTCGAACGTTTGTCGTGTCGCAGGTGTGTGCAGCAGACCCATCCAGAACTCAAGGATGAGTTTGTGATGAAGAACCCGAGCGTTGGTGTCAAGCCTCAAGTGATTTCGAAGCTCGCCAAAAGGGTACACTTCAAGATGTTGAAGATAGTTACATTACAATGTGTAGTGTAACATTTCTGTTGGTGTAGACCCTTGTGGAGGGTAGTTTCGAGACCCTTGTTGGTTGGGGAAAGTGTGGCACTGTTCCACATCACTGTACCTCGGCTCTTGGGGTTTGTAGGAGCTGGGAGTCATTTCCAACTTGTAACTCTTCCTATCTTGTGTTCTACGACTAATGTGGCTGCCATAGTGCCGTTCGTTCAAACAGACGCTGTGTCGTCAATACTTGGTGAAATGATGCGATCGAAATTGCCTATTGTAGGCGACGTAACGATGCTCCAGATCCAGGTTGAATCAGGCCATTTGAAGCTGTGATCAGAACGCTATGAACGTTTAAAGCCGCTGTGCATAAATCCGACTGTGCACTCTATCTTTCGTTTTAGGCACATTGAAGCCTACTGTGACTATAACAACCCCAGCGCTGTCATTTCCTATCGTGCTGGCAAACGAAGCAGATGAGCCAGCCACAGTGGTGCACACAACGAGGTGCCCAGTGGGCAAGTGGGCCCCGATATTATGCTGCAGTAAGCCAGGTTTCCTGCTCAACCGGTAATGCTGGCTTGTCAAACAACAAGACCAACTCGCTACATTGGCGTTGCCTCAAATGAAACTGTATTTCTGGCCAATGGTGGCCCACCTCGTTCCAGCACACGTAATGTCCTGCTGAAATCTACAGTTTCGACAGTTGGCAACCCGAAATCTCAGGTTTCGGGGTCGGGTGGTTAGGGGAAGGTAGGGGGGGGGGCTCACGGGGTGGCTGGTACTCGCTTCAGGGTAAAACTCGATAAGCCGAACGGCAACCCTGAGGCGACAGTGTTCCTTAATCGTAAACCCTGGCACATCAGGGTAAATCATGGTCCTTCAAAAATTACCCAACCGCATCAGTGTTACTACCAAAAACCACCCTGATAATCAGGGCAACAAGGTGATTTACCCTGATAAAATAGGCCCTGACACGAACAGTGGATGGTAAATCCAATAAATTTAATACTCAAATAAGCACACTTGGGTCTTAAAAAATTGTACGCCACCTATACGTTAACCCTAGCTATGTTTCTTGTATTTGTAGAAAGTCCCCCGGGTCCTATAGACGGAATGTTACGTTAGGACTCGATCGATCGTCTCGTAATAAATATACAACAAATCTAAATTTGTCTTCTATCCAGTCGATTACGGTTAGCAAACAGCACCTACGTATGTTTTCAAAGCGTTGGCCCCGTTGGGGCGCTTGTCAGAGGAGGTTCTGCTCCATGCAACCCCCCCCATCCCTGCATGCATCACAAGCACTGGTGGCGTCCCCGCTGGCCACTCGCTGCATGCAGTGGGTTATGCGCTGCTCCAACACACGCTGATGCGCTCGCCACGGTGCAGGGGGGCAGCGAGGGGGGGCAGCGAGAGGGGGGGCAGCGAGGGGGGGCAGCGAGGGGGAGCAGCGAGGGGGAGCAGCGAGGGGGAGCAGCGAGGGGTAGCAGTGAGAGGCAGGAGCGAAGGGAAAGCGGGAAAGAGGGGTGGGGGTGAGCGCCGAGACACTGGAACACTCATACGATCGGCAGTCACATGGCAATGCTACGGTACTGAGATGGCAATGGCAGTCAGATGGCACTGTAAGTATCTCTGCTTCAACACTCGTTGTGTGAACGAGAGGGTGGACGGGAGAAGAGAAAGCGGGACGGGGAAGAGGAAGGAAAAAGGAATAGGCCATGAGCGGCACTCACAGCAACGAGTGGATGCACCCCAATGGGCGCGGTGACTATAAAGGGCACTCCGTTGCCGTGCTGCGCTGCTGCCTCTGCTGCCAGCGCTGGGATGTCCTGCCAGGCCGGGGATGACATGGTGGTGGCAGGGGAGACACGGTGGCAGGGGAGACATGGTGGCAGGGAGGAGAGGGTGCAAGGGTCTCAAAACGGTGCGAATGTGTCAGAAACAAGCCACAAGTGCGAATGTGTGAATGTGTCACAGCTGCCACGCCACAAGTGCATGAGCCGCTGGGCCACCCCAGGACGCACCCGTTGCCAGTGGCGGCCGGGCGAGAGGAAGTAGGGGCACACGATGACGCCCCTGGCGCCCCTCTGCATGCACCGCGTGAACGCCACCGCTATGGACGGCTCCGCTATCTCCTGGTCAGGCCGTGGGGGGCGGGGGGGGGGGGGGGGACGGTTGACAGGGAGGGAATGTCGAATGTTGTTTATGTGTTTGTTAGACTTGACAGTAGGTTCACAGTAGAGGGTACATGTTTCTCTTGACACTTTACTTGTACTACCCCTTCCCCTACTAGTCGACATCACTTCCACGTGCTATCTTTGAGATGGTATGACACGCTTAAGTTCCTAGGCCTAGATAGTTCCTAAACCACTCAAGTCCTTAGCTTCCCTCCCCTCCAGCCGTCACGTCCCTCCTAGGCCGCCAGAACGCACGCCCCAGCTGGCTAGGTCGCGCGCACGCGCGCTAGTTAGCAGCAGACGCGTACGCGACTGCAGCAACTCACGCACGCATAGGCAGCGCGCGAGCAGCTACAGCTACGTACGCAGCAGCCGCACACGCTGCGACTTGTCCCGCACTCGACAGCAGCCACGCACGCAGCTGTAACCGCGCACGCAGCAGCAGCCGCGCACGCGCACAGCAACAGCTGCACGCGCAGCAGTCGCCGCACGCGCAGCAGCAGCCGCACGCGCCACTGCCTCATGCACAGCAGCGGCTGCGCACGCACAGCAGCGGCTGCGCACACACAGCAGCAGCTGCGCGCAAGTGCATAGCAACAGCCGCGCACAACAATAGGTCCTTCAGCAGTTCAGACTTCAGCACTCCACCACACAGCCCACTCCTCTTGCTGTCGACCACAGACTCACCGGGCCTTTTCCCGACGAGCCATTTGAGTCTCATGGTCCTTACGCAGTGCTTGTGGGCTGTCTCATGTACCTGATGACTTATACTCGTCCAGACCTCGCCTTTCGACTCAGCGTTCTCTCTCGCTTTGTTGCGACTGGGGGACATCGTCCAGTGCACTGGACGGCTGCTGTAAGGGTGGCGAAGTACCTGGCGACTACATCAGGCGTGGGGCTCAGGTCTACTTGGTCGTCGTCTGTGGCACAGTCCACCGCAGAGGCAGAGATCTACGCTGCTGCTATGGCTGCGCAGGAGCTTCGTTGGTCGACTTTTCTTGCTCACTGACCTTGGTGAGCGGCCTCGTTCTGCACCGACCTTGTTCGCTGACAACAAGGCCATGATCCTCCTTTGTCGAGAGCCTCGACTGGAGGGCAGAGTGAACCACATCGACGTGAGGTACTTTCTCCTGCGAGAGTTGCAGAGACGCGGCCATGTTCGCTTGGACTTCATGGTCTCAGCGGCCAACACATCAGACATTTTCACCAAGGCCCTAGCGCCTAGTGATCACCACAGGTTCTGTCTTGTTGACGATGGTGCTTGGTTGCTGTAGCCTTGTTTCTTGTTCCTTGCTCTGCTTGTCCTTGTATCTATATATGTTTGTGAACTCTCGAGCTGGGCTTGTGGCCGTTTTTTTGTGCTCGGACTGTGTGGTGATCTTGAAATCCACCCTAAGCGTTGTCTTGTTGCTTCTCTTGACTGGTCTTGTGACCATTTGTTTCCCTTGCTTGCTTTGATGCCCCTCACTTAGCCTATGGGGGTGTGTCAAATGTTGTTTATGTGTTTGTTAGACTTCTAGGCTACAGTGAGGTTCACTTTAGAGGGTACATGCTTCTCTCGACACTTTACTTGTACCACCCCTTCCCCTACTAGTCGACATCACTTCCGCTTGCTATCTTTGAGAAGGAATATGAGAGCAACATGGAAGGGGAGGGAGGCAGAGGGCTTGCATGGCCGCAGTGCGGTTTGCTGGGGCAGGCAGGAAGCGAGGAGGGGCAGATGTGTGTGGGTTGCAGGGGGTGAAGCAGATGAGGGCGATCGGGCGGATGGAGTGGCAGCCATGCGATGACATGGGTTAAGTGAGGAGAGAGTGCGGCATGGAGGGGTTGTGCATGGGGAGACCAGGTTTGACAGCGCATGTGAGGCAGAGTAGGCATGTGGAGAGTGATACAAGAGGAAACTAGGGTAGCGTGAGCTTCACGGTGTTCATTCACCACGAGGGATGCCTCACCAGGTGCGCCTCTCACCATGTGCGCCTCTCACCATGTGCGCCACTCACCATGTGCGCCACTCACCATGTGCGCCACTCACCATGTGTGTGAGAGTACGACGGCTTATGCCAGCTATGCTTGCTTGCCTTTACTTTATCATGCTATTTCTAGCATAGGATAATTATATGCATGCATGAATTGCTTGATTTCCTAGGCTAGGTGCTTTCCTATATTTTATTATAGTTATAGCACCGAGCTAGGTTGCGTGCACCGAATTCGGGAAGGATCTGTTCGGGACGCTTCGCGACCCGCGGAACCTTCGCGTAACACCTGGTTACGGGGCCTTGTGTCGAGCCTATATATAGCCTCGTGTTGTACCCAGGTGATCATTCAATTACAATTCTCTTTTCTGAGCTCGATCCTAGATCCTCACAATGTGCGCCACTCACCATGTGCGCCTCTCACCATGTGCGCCACTCACCATGTTCACCACTCACCATGTGCGCCACTCACCATGTGCGCCATTCACCATGTTCGCCACTCACCATGTGGGCCACTCACCATGTGCGCCCCTCACCATGTGCGCCACTCACCATGTGCGCCACTCACCATGTGCGCCACTCACCATGTGCGCCATTCACCATGTGCGCCACTCCGCCACTCACCATGTGCGCCTCTCACCATGTGCGCCTCTCACCATGTGCACCCCTCACCATGTGCGCCACTCACCATGTGCGCCACTCACCATGTGCGCCAATCACCATGTGCGCCCCTCACCATGTGCGCCACTCACCATGTGCGCCTCTCACCATGTGCGCCTGCGCCTCTCACCATGTGCGCCACTCACCATGTGCGCCACTCACCATGTGCGCACCTCACCATGTGCGCCACTCACCATGTGCGCCACTCACCATGTGCGCCCCTCACCATGTGCGCCCCTCACCATGTGCGCCACTCACCATGTGCGCCCCTCACCATGTGCGCCACTCACCATGTGCGCCCCTCACCATGTGCGCCGGCTCCACGATGGAGTAGCCCGTCTCCTGCTGAAACACTCCCACGAAGACGTCTGGTGGTGACACACCAATGGGGGCATACAGGGAGGCGAGAGAGGGAGAGACATGGGAGCAATGAACTTCAACGTTCTGGATGGGAGGTGCGGCATGGGAGGTGCGGCATGCGAGGTGCGGCATGCAAGGTGCGGCATGCGAGGTGCGGCATGCGAGGTGCGGCATGGGAGGTGCGGCATGCGAGGTGCGGCATGCGAGGTGCGGCATGCGAGGTGCGGCATGCGAGCTGTGGCATGCGAGGTGCGGCATGCGAGGTGCGGCATGCGAGGTGCGGCATGCGAGGTGCGGCATGCGAGGTGCGGCATGCGAGGTGCGGCATGCGAGGTGCGGCATGCGAGGTGCGGCATGCGAGGTGCGGCATGCGAGGTGCGGCATGCGAGGTGCGGCATGCGAGGTGCGGCATGCGAGGTGCGGCATGCGAGGTGCGGCATGCGAGGTGCGGCATGCGAGGTGCGGCATGCGAGGTGCGGCATGCGAGGTGCGGCATGCGAGGTGCGGCATGCGAGGTGCGGCATGCGAGGTGCGGCATGCGAGCTGCGCATGCGAGGTGCGGCATGCGAGGTGCGGCATGCGAGGTGCGGCATGCGAGGTGCGGCATGATGGTGCCTTCCGCTAGGAGCGTGGGCGAACTGTGGTGGGCGGGATGCAATGAGGTGTGACCCCTTCACAAGCGGCCCCGAGCATCCCTCATCCACTCCCGCTTGCAGCATCAGTGACCCCGTGGAACCATGCAGCCGCCTTCAGACACCCCACCATGCCACACACATACATCTTCTTTCTCCTTTCTTCCTTCCTCCCTCCCTCCCTCCCTCCCTCCCTCCCTCCCTCCCTCCCTCCCTCCCTCCCTCCCTCCCTCCCTCCCTCCCTCCCTCCCTCCCTCCCTCCCTCCCTCCCTCCCTCCCTCCCTCCCTCCCTCCCTCCCTCCATCCCTCCCTCTATCCCCTCTGTCATCCTATATCCCGTCTCCACCTTGCCCCCGCCAACCCCCCACGTCCCTCCTGGCCCTCTAGAGCTGAGCGCACCGAGCTGGCGGTTGGACTCGGCGCGCCTTGACCCGTGGTCCACCACCACCACGCCCACCTCCTCGCGCCTCAGCGCTGCCACCTCCGCCATGCCGCGCTCATTCCGGGCCTCCAGCGCAGCCTTGGTCGCGTCCCTCGGTTCGGCAGCATCACTTGGTTGGGCAGCATCACTTGGTTGGGCAGCATGAGGTTGTGGTGGTGCGGGGTGGTGATCGCCGCCGGCCATGGCGGAAGGAGAGATGGCTGCCAGCAACGGCTGCAGTGTGGAACGATGGGGGAGAGTGGGAGGGTGGGAGGGCACGCGTGCTCCTTGCAGTACCACGGGGTGCCATGCAGTACCACGGCGTGCCATGCACACGTGCCAGGATTCTCCCGAGCGGACCATCAGCGCCCATGGATGGAGCTACGCGAGCCGAGAGTGTGGCCCAGGGAGGGGGGATGCCAGTGCCACAGGCGGTGCCAACACGCCATCACCCTCACGTGTGATGCGCGGGTGTTATTCAAGCGTGTCGCCATCCCCGTGTGCGCGCAGACGGCGGGTCGCCTCGCCGCACGCGCTTCACGATGTCACTGTGACTGCAGCACCGACCTAACCACGTGAGCCGCGAGGGGGACTCGACAAGGCTGCGGCCCACCTTCGAGTGCAGCACGCGCACACCTCTCACCTGACAATCTCTAAACGGCGTGCTGCGTGCGCATGCGACGAGCGATGGCGCGAGCGCGATGCAACGACCTCTGCGCTGCGCGTCCGACCCTCGATGCCGCGTGGGTGGCCGCGAATGGGATGCGTGGGAAAGGCGGGATGAATGCAGCGAAGCGACGGGCGAGAGGACGCAAGACGCAAGCGAACTCCTCGCGCTGCTGCGAAGGCTGGGCGCAGGACGAATCGCGACAAAAGACATGGCTAAAGCTCCTTGCTACGGCTACTTGGTCCTAGGCGCATGTAATCTCAGCGTCCTCTGCACTTCATAAAATTTACCCGTTCGCGATACCGTCGTACCTCGGATAAAAGAGCTGGTTCAATAAACCGTCATAGTGCGCTTATAATATAGAAAAGAATCTTAGCCACATGGAACACAACCAAAAGTACACCAGCTTCTTGATCTCGGCTTTTCAAAACAATTTGATTTTTTCTCACTAAATGGCCCTCGCTCCTCTTTTGTGTCTTATACGTATGAAGCGGAACAACAATCGTATTATATCTATAAAAGGGTACGTCCGTTGTTGTTTCGTTTTGCAAGTGCCCCCTATACGTTTAAAGAGGCGATCCGAGACATCTGCACTAGCAACTACTGTGGCTGTTTGCAACATAAGTAGGTGCCGTGCCCATGTTACGATAGTTGTGTCGGTGTTAGAAGCTTAAAATGTATTCGAGCACTACTTGCGTTACATAATCTCCCGAATATAAGGGCGAATTTCTACGCCTCATATCAGGCAAACCTCATATCAGACTTGGCCTGTGAAAAGTTGCGAGGGGTTTTTGGTTCAGGGGAATTTCAGTGTGAGTCTGATATAAGGTTTGCCTCATATGAGGCGTAGGAACACGCCATAAGACCCCCCCGGAATACAAGACCACCGGGTGGGTCTTTTATTTCAGCAGGTTTCCATTATCTTCCCCTCATCCCCCCCCCCCTTTAGTCTTCTAGGGTATTTTATGCATCTTCATATGTGTTCCAAACATGGTAGCCGTGTTTAGGGCGAGTTTATATCCATTGTTCAAGGAAAACTTTTCAAGAAGGTGTTGGAATAACCGAAAGGTTATAGTAACATTCCCGAAGGATCTCCACTCACGCGTCACTTCATAACGAAGCAATGCGTCTGTACCAGTACCGCAATAGCTCATATAGAGCATGCGGAAGATCGAGAGTCACCCGAAGGTCAACAGTCGAAGACAGTCAACGGTCGTGATTCTTGACCATCCAGTAACCGCACTTGGTAGCTACGCGATGCAACATGATAACTGTCGAGAAGAGCAATAGTCGTGGTTACTGTAGCAATGCAATTTAGTTAATAAGGGAATGTACCCCTCAGAGTACATGGCTAGCTATGATTGCTATTTATACCCTTGTATTCCTATCTTATAATCATCTTGTTCTCTTTCAACTTTTTTAACAAGGTCACTACCAATGCTTCATTGCCTTCCTTCAAACTTGGCAGACTTATCATATCCACTACGACATGGTATGAGAGCTAGAGTGGATTATAAGGCCTGTCAAGTCTCTGTTCTTTTCAGAACAAACTATTTATAAATTACTCATTACAAACTACTACAACTCTGCATCACAATGGCTCCCGAAGGAAAAGCCACTACACACTCTCCGGGCCCACCACCAGCAACACCTACTGCACCATCAGCGGTGACTTCCGTCAGCGCCGCTCTCGTTGATCAGCTAGTCGCCCGCATCAACGCTCTTGAGAGCCATCAAGCCATGAGCATCGATGGCTCAAGTTACGCAAGAGGACTTGCTGGACTCCCCCTCCCTGGTGAAGACCGCCGCGTCAACTCCGAGAGGTCTTTTACCTTTGACAACCGTCAAGCTTCAGCTCCTGCACACGACAGTCAACAACGAGTGCAGTCAGAAACAATCGCGACCCTGCAAACAAAGTTCGTTTTGACCTCAAAGCTGAAGACCTCAACCCAATTTGACGGCAAGGATTTCTACACGTGGAGCTTGGAATTCGAACTCCTCGCGACAACCGCTCAACTCTGGATGTACTACGACGGAAGCTTACCTTTCCCATCGGAAGGAACCATCCAGGAGAAGCATCAATACTACCACGAATCTCTTCTTGCGTACACCACCCTTCTCCGAAACCTCTCCCCCTCCGAGCAGCTTGGCATTTGCTCTTACAAGTCCGAGTGGGCACCCGCGTATGCATCTTGGGAGCACCTGAAAAATCCATATATGGCAACAGATCCCGTCACAATGAGTCGCCTGCTCAGCCAATTGACATCGGTTAAAATGCAACAAGGAGAGAAAGCGGGACCGTATATCAATCGGTGCCGTAATCTGCGCGACCACATTAAGAAGTGCGGCGGAACCGTTCCCCACAGCATGTTCGTCTCGATGGTTCTCTCCGGCCTTGGACCCGATTGGCGCCAATGCCAGTCGTTTCTCCGCGCTCGAGCAACTATTTCCGAGTCCGCCCTCTATGCCACGCTTCTCTCTGAGCAGAAGGAGATTGACCTGTACAACGAGAAGAACAGCAAGCGGGATAAGTTAGTATTCTTTACTGGAGCGACTGGAGGGGAGCAGCATGGAAAGAAGGGGACATTATGCAAATACTGCAAGAAGCCCGGGCACACTATTGATCGTTGATACAAGCGAAAGGCCGCCGACGAAAGGCGCAATAACTCCTCCAGTCAGCAGCCTTCGGCACCCTCGGCTTCCCCTTCTGCGACATCGACCATATCGCCACCTTCCGTCGCAAGCACCTCACAAACTCCTGCACGCATCACGTCCAAGGACAAAGGCAAGGGATCAATCATGAGTTGCATGGCGCGATGTCGCAGAGGCATCCGATACTACGACGACATCGAATACCCACCAATCGCGCCCCTCAATCCCATCAGGCCAAGTCCAGACAACGACTCCACCATCCACAGTTGGATTAATCGTCCAACGAACATCCCACTTGACTTCGAGTTGCCTCCACCAACCCCGGAGTCCCCTCTCAGCATTTCCGCAAGGCGATACATCGACCTCTCACCGTACACCGGAGACTTCGACCGCGTCGTCACTCCGAAAATCGCCGGGATCGCACGACAAAATTGCGAAAACTAAAACACCTGGTATCTCGATAGCTGGTGCGGACAACACATGGTGGGGTCACCGAGGTTCATCAGCAACTCAAAGCATATGTGACGACCATGCGAAATCACCGTCGCCAACAACGGACGCCTCAAGGCTTACGACATTGGAGAGATTTGCCTTGAGGCCGAAGACACTCGCTTCACCATCCACATCAGCGACATACTGGTTGTTCCTGATCTGCAGTACAACCTGCTCTCTTCGACACAGCTCATGCGGTGCGGAGTCGACATTCGCAGCGACTGCCAAGACAAGACCTTTGAACTTTATTATAAAAATGCTTACATCGGCAAGGCTGACGATGATGACGGGGTCTTCGTTTTGAACTTCTCGGCTCAAGGCACCACTGGCGATTCCGAACGAACGCTTCTTTTAGAGACAACTCCCACGGAGCCGATGGTTTGGTCACACCCAGAGGAGATGGATCTTGAACGGCCCGCCTTCGATGGTCTTCTGCGACTGCGCGCCGTCCCAACTGCCTCAACCTCTAATCCAGGCGACACTGGACCTGCAACAATGGAAGAAGAGGAAAACAGTGGAAAGTCAGCAACTGCAGAACCGGACACCGGAGAAAACACAACTCCTCCAGCAACTGGCTGGGGGAGTCCTGGCCCCGCAACCGGCCCATGGGGAGAAATTCTGACGCCCGAAGAAGCTGCCGCAAGCGGATGGGGTGCCATCGCGTCACCGGAAGAAGGCGGAGCCACCACCACAACAGAAGCAGGCATTGTCGCTAGAGGCAGCTGGGAAACCACAACCGAAGGAGGCTGGGGAACCTCAGGCGAAGGAGGCTGGGGACTGTCAGCTCCCGCCTATCCTGAAGGTCAAGGACTTCCTCATGCGGATGTTGCGGCGGTCGACCCGTACTGGGCAACTCGCGGTACTAGCTGGGGCGGACCTCCTCTTCCAGACCAGAACGCTCCTGACACACCAGAAAAAGTTCAAGAGGAGTCAGAAGAAGCAACTTATGAGTTCTTTGAGGAGGAGTGGAACTACCGGAACCTACCGAGGAGCAGGTCATCGGCGACGAGTACAGTTACTTTCGCATTCCCATGATAGGGCTTCCCGTCTCTGATTGGCCCAAAGCGCCACCATCCTCGCATCTGCTCGTCACCAGCGAGCAAGTCCACGCCGCTGATACAGATGATATCATCGGAATTCCTCGCGCCCTCCTGGAACGAGGCTCCGTTCGAGCCTTCTCGACCGACGCCGACGCAGCCACCGACACGGGACCTGAAAAGCGGCAGCAGGACGAAATGAAAGGGCACACATATTATCAAAGAGCTGTCGTGTTATAGTCACAGTAGGCTTCAATGTGCCTAAAACGAAATATAGAGTGCACAGTCGGATTTCTGCACAGCGGATTTAAACGTTCATAGCGTTCTGGTCACAGATTCAAATTACCTGATTGAACTAGTATCTGGAGCGTCTTAATGTTGCCTAC